CCAATGGTTCATATTTCACTTTTAGGAACCGTTAGCTCAGGTGAATTATAATTCATCTGAGCTTTAGAAACATTTAATCAATTTATTTTTCAATTGAGCATCTTTCAGACTTTGCATTTTCCCGCTTTTATTAAGGAACTTTTAACAATTTTGCTGCCATCCAAGATCAAGAACATTATTTAGTAGGTAATTAAGATTATACGCACCCATTTACGTTATGGAGGATGTGTTAAACATTTATTCATTCATTTATATCAAAAGTCAGGCGTTTTGATGGTTATCATTAGCCCTTTAGTTGACTTCTAGCTTCAGAAAGGAAGGAACATCGAAGGGAAAAAAGTCGAGAGGGAGGGGGGAGGGAAGAGAAAAGTGTTTCAAAGATGTAAAAGAGACAGACACAAAGGTAGATAAAAAGGTGAGGTGAGCACTGCGGAAATGGTGGAATATGACATACAATGAGGTTATGGTAGTTTGAAGTCAAAAGTCAACTGCCGTATGAGTATACGTTGCCCAGGGTGCACCACGTGGAGGTAAGTCTATCGCGCACCCCTGTGTTAAATATAATTCTCTGAAGAATGCATAGATGAAGGTGTATTTTCATTTATTAGCCTGTTATATAATAGTGCTCATTTTGAGAAGTCACCTGATATTAATTTTGAAGATTAGTCAATTTCAGGAAATTTAATGAAACTAGTACCACTACGATAATGTGGGTTCGTGCCATTTTGTCATATCCTTTAGGTCGGTCCCTCATTATCTATGTTTACAATATACAATTAAAGCGTTGCCTTTATTTAATAGCAATAACATATTTTTTTACTTAAATTTACAGGTTTGCCTGCTGCCATCGCTTGCCGCACATATAAAATTAATCTTTTATATATAATTATTAAATTAAACTTTTCTGTATTTATAGACGGATTGATAAACAATAAGGTAATTGAGTAAATATTTCGAAAGTTGAAACAGTTTAATGGAGTGAAACGGTACGAAATGTGTACAATTTTAATATAGTCAATCATTCCAAGGTCAAATTTGATTTTATTAGTATTTCAAGGGCGGTAGCGTTTTTCTAACTACCAATGCATCGAATTAGTAATAGATCTGAATGAACAGATAGGTTTAAATGTTTAAAGGTATATGCAACAAAGGCCCGTTTCCATGGTAAAAATTTACAGAGTGAAAGCTTATTCATTTGTTCAGATAAACAATATCGTTTAATTATAAGTGCGGAAAAGTACAGAACGAAATGTTCAGAAAAAATGATATTAACCGAAATGTATTTTATTTCTTTGATGACACCTTCCCTTTTAGGCTGTTCATTAATCGCTTGACTTCGCAGATCATTTTAAGCTTCCTACTCGCTTTTTCGAGGTTTTTTATTGATCATATTTGTTTTGTTTTAACTGAAATTCTGAAAGCGTTCAGTAAGAGGTAAAATGAACTTGGTACTGGCATTGATTCTGTTCCAAGTTGATTTCTACATCGTTTGCCTGGAATTCACAGATAACTTTTCACTGGCTTTTAATCTCAGTTTCATTCACTCAGGAGTGCTCGATTCGGAAAGTATAAGCAAACACGATATCACAGACAGTGTACACAACTCTTTTAAGGCTTTTCCTGCAAGTTAACAGACAATTTGCCACACAACATTGTTGATTCCTATTCTTTCTCTTTCGCGAGGTCTCTTTTGAATGTGTGGATAAATCACCTTGCCTAGCCGTTTGATTGTGGGTGATATGGATGTGCGAAGATGCAATAAGTACTTATTTGAGATGCCACGTGCTGAACTGTGTTCCCCTGTCTGACACCAGGGTTTCTGTTAAATCATGCGTTGCAAAGATGAAGTCAAAGGTAGTATTTGCTGACGGCGCGAGTGAATTAATGCCAAGTAGACGACCATAACAATCTTCATGCACTCTACTCCAAGGTGTGTTCGTTCGGGACCAAGGTATTGGCTTCAAAAGAGGAGGCATTTGATACAACCTTCGAAAAAACAATTTTTTATCTCTGTTCTCCGTGGTCTCCCATTTGTGAGCTATACCTCACAAAAATGAAATTTGTAATAGTATTATAAATTAAAATACCCCGAATGACCGCAAATAAACAAATACAAAATTACTGAACTTTAATCTAAAAATAAAATAACAAATGAAAATTTTTTCCGATAAAACATCGAAACAAAAACTGTGGCGTTTGAAGTAAACCATCCACCTATTGAATTAAAGAACGAATCGAAACCAGCATTAATGTGGTACTAGTATGAATTCGGGAGTTAAATATTTTGAATCCACATAAAAAGGTTTTAATTAAAACTAAAAATTGAAAAAGTAAGTCATTTTCCCATAAATAATTTTTCACTTCTTATCAGAAACAGAAAGAGACAAGAGTAGTTTATCAAGCAACTTACTATCTACCAAAGAGTAACAATGAGTATCATATCAACATCATACTTCCATTCACGAAAATCTCCTAATTGCCAATAATTTGATTACAATGTAGCTGAGGGTAAAACTCTGATCAGAAATTTTGCTACTGGTAGCTGCATTTTCCATAGGAGTGGTTTTCCATTCAAAAAAGTACCTATCGAAAACTTCAATGATAGCTCTTTGTCAACTTGTTTCTAAATTGACGATGAAGCTCTCCAGTGAGGGAAAAAATTGAAAGATTTTAATGATTTTGGTTTTCCTTTCAGTGTCCTTTGTTGATACTGGGTCAATCATGAACTTCAGTTTGCCCTGTTGCCAAAGCGACAACGAGAAATAGCAGGCCATACTTCATGTTGTTGCCGGTATTCAGAATTGTCTTCATTGCCTTCCGAGGACAAATACGATTGTTAGTCAATCAAGATGTAACGAAATTTCAAAGCTAAATTCTGTGAAGATATGTTTTGTGTGACAAATTATTGACATTTTTGATCTTGCGTTTTTAATACTGTTCCGATTTGATTTATGCGGAAAAATTTCGTGCATTTCAGCAAGAAAATGAAAACTCGTACCTAACCGAAATGATTTTTCAACAGTAACCAGTAGAACTAAAATGGACTTAACATCCATTTCCAGAAATAGAATATCATTTCTTATTAATTTAAAAAGCCTAACTGATTTTGAAATTTTGAAATTGTTTGTACAGCCTTGTGTGTAAAAATCTTTTAAAGAAATAAAATGTTTTAAATTAGAGCTGAGCAAAACGAGCAAACATCTCACCAAATGCTTTTGCGATCTTTTCTTTGAAATTCTCTTGGCCAATCGATCGATAAAATTAACTAGAATAAAATCAATAAAATTATGCAGCCGTTGAATATAATTTGACTGTATGATTTAAGTTATATCAGACTGAACGTAAAATTTTGCCCGAATTGTATGCGAACAAACGATTTATCGAAACGGACTGTCACCAATAAACACCAAGGCGATGGTTTGACACGAAAACTAGATTTTTCCAAGCCAAGTGAACATACGCAAAATGCATACCACTCTGAACCAAATGAATTCACAGCGCAGCCACAAGTTCGACAACGATCAAAGACTGAAAAACAGTACGAAAGGTTTCAAACTCAACTAAAACCATTGCCTAAACCCAGAAAATCGTTATTGTCTCACCTAACTCCTCGGTTAGAGGATAATAATCTCCATACTCCTTCACTTCTAACAGATATCTCTTTATCTCCTCAAGCAAAGCCAAAATTTGTAGATTGTAGGGATTCTCCGAGACAACAAGGTTACTCTCATTCTTGGAAATACGTTGCCTTACCCACCAGTCCAATAATTCCTGAATATAATATTACTCCAAAAGATGTCCATGATGTTGACTTGATTACAAACGAAATTATTGGTAAAAATTCAATAATTCCGGAACCTACTGGTGACTATAATGCATTCAGTCCGAATTATGGAAATAATAAAATTCGATTTATCGAAACTGAGCAGAAAATTGAGGAAAATAACCTCCATAATTTTCTTAAATCAGTTGACTTTGGTTCTGATAAGTCAAAAATAATAAAAGTGTTGCTTCAACAGAAGAAGGAGCTTCGGAAACAGGTTGATGCTTTATCCCGGAATTACCGTAGTCTTTTAGTGAAATATGAGTGTTTAAAAAGTTATTCAGATGGCTGTATTGGCGAAAATTTGGATTTGAATAATAAATGTCAGTCATTTCAAACGGAACAGGAAACTCTGGAGTCGCAGATAAAAATTCTAAAGGAAGTGAATCGCAAACTTCTAAAGAAACTCGACGGTGAAGGTGATAAGAAGGCAGCCTTAGAAAACATATCCCTGGAAGTTAAAAAAATGGTCTGTGAAAATGAGATGCTGAAAGCCTCTAACAAACAGCTCGAAGAAGCATTTTCTAAAACTATCAAGGACCAAGAGTCAATAAAACTTGAGAATAGTCACTTGAAGTTGGAGCTGGATAGGACACGCTTAGAATCAACTAATCAGCAGGTGAGATCGGATAGAATTTCAGCCGAGAATGCCTTCCTAAGGAACCAATTAGATCAGACTGAAAAAGAAAGATATAAGGCTTCAAAAAGTATTTTGGAGTATGATGAGTTACGAAATACTTATGAAAATCTACAGATCGATCATCAGAGATTGATAATGTTGTATACCTCCGAGGCAGAAGCTAGGAAAGAACTCCATAATCAGTTGCAAGAAGTTAATGGAAACTTCCGAGTGATCTGTCGTTTCAAACCATTAGAACAAGGCAATAAAAAAGAGACCACATATCCATTTGAATTCTGCGCGATGGACAAAGTATTCGTCCGTGGGAAGTCTTTTCTCCCTACTACCAACTGTCAAGGTCATGCCGATTTGAATAAACGACATGCTTTGGCCGTCAAGGATCAGTTCTTCGCTTTTAATCGAGTCTTTCAGAATGCATCCAGCCAGGAGGATGTATTTGAGGAAATTCAGCCATTAATTAGATCTTTCATTGATGGTTATAATGTTTGCATTTTCACATATGGGCCAGCTTTGAGCGGAAAGACGTATACGATGCTAGGGACGCAGGAGTGTCCTGGAATTATCCAGAGAGTTGTATCGAACATTTTTGGGCTTTGTGATCAACTCAAAGATATTTGGAAAGTAGAGGTCACCATTTCGATGTTTGAAATCTATATTGGGACTATATATGATCTTCTGGCAACGCCGACAACACAAGTCAAACTAAGTGGTAATGGAAGCAATGTTAAACTTACCAATGCAATGGAAAGAGTTACAACTTCTGAAGAAAGCACAATTAAATGGATTAAGCAAGGATATGCTCAACGTAAGTCAAACAGTCAGTCATCTAGATCGCATATAATCATTCAGATAACTTTAAATTCGAATAACAGGGCCGATAAACAGAAGAAGGCCTCCTCTTTCATTCTTTGCGATCTAGCCAGTTCCGATTCCATGGATGAAATCGCATTTGACGAAAAGCAGCACTTGGAAGCTAGTTTTGTCAATAAATCGTTAATTTCATTATATCGAGTATTTGATGCTCTGCGTAGAAGATCCACTCAAACGGGATTGGTTATTCCTTTTCGGGATTCAATACTAACCCATTTTCTCAAACCCTGTTTTGTGGGACAGGCTAAATGCGTACTGATCATTACTGCCTCATCGGAGCAAAAACATCTTGAACGAACGCTAAAGGCACTAGAATTTGGTCAATGTGCCATGCAAATTGCTCTCGGTAGACCGCTGAAAAATAATCGTATATTATCATCAAATAAAGCGACAAATCCAAGTGGATAAGAAGAACAGAAATTGTAAATTTCTTAATATTTAAATATTTTCAAGATTTCCTATTTGGAATTACAAAATAATCTTACACTGAAAATAAAACTAGGTTTGATTAAATGTTTGTATTTCGAACGATGGCAAATTACGTATCAGGTACAAAAAGGCAAAGTAATTTCTACTGAACGTTAATAAGTAGTATTGAAAAGACAAAATCAAAAAAGCACAAATCGACCACGGGTTGTATTCTTATTAAGATATCGATTTCGGAAGTTTCATGGAGGTGATTCCGATTACTTTTTCTAAAAATTCATGAACAGAGTCCTCGTCCTTTAATACGCTCATGATTCTTGTGTGGATTGTTCTTGATTTACTCTTGTTTAAGTTCTCGAATTTTTGAATGATGAAATCGGTGGCTTCCCGTGGGTGATCGAAACCTGAAATAGGGGTAAATACTGACTAAAAGGGCAAACAAACAACCGCTTTGATAATTATAATATACTGATATATTTGAAGACTTCTGAACGAGGTAGAACTTTGAACTACTTACCACCAGCTGCATTACATATCTCTGCTCCTCTAAATCCCAATCTGCGCATTTAAACAGGACTTGAAAGCATTCAAGACATTTAGCAATTTTTTTAACTAAATGTAACCCAAAAAAGAGTCAAATGGAAAGTAATATCTATTAACTTTTGCAGAAAAATCTTTATGCTAATTCTCAATGGTATTCAAGGGTTTTAATTATGATGCTCTTGGGTGAGCATGGTTCCCATACGTATTCTCGTATATGGAACAGAGCTACTTATCCTGGTTGGGAGCATGTGCTCTCAGCCAATCAATGATCAGAAGACACAGCAAGGTCAGTGTGTCAGTGACTTCACGACGCAAATAAATGCATCGTATCACACGTTCAGCTTCCTCAATATTGCTGAGGTAACTTAGTTACTTTCGTGAACAATTTTGCCAAAAACGATTGCCTGGGTTGAGACAAGACTTATTTTTGTAGCACGCACTACACTTCCTCGGCTACAAAATAAAGAGCATAATGGCTATGAAATCGTTTAGTAACCAAGAGGTCGAACTGTGAAATTTGAGTTTTAGTAGTTGAGGTAGTGAACCGCAAATTGATAAACATTGCACAAAAGTTCTTTTAAAAATAAGTTTCAGTAGACATTTGAGTTCTACTTTCAACGTTACTGTTTCATAAATTTAATTTCTTCTCCACGATTCAAAGTTCTAAAATGGATATTTTGCCGTTGGTTATAGAAGAGTTTGTGATAATTTATTCAAATATTTAATAATGAGAGATTTATATGAGCTTGTACTTTAATTTTTTCTGCCCTGTACTTTTAGCTAAATAAAGGTACATATGCTGACTATGTTCGAATATTTTCGGTGGTGAATAACAAGAGGGATAATATGATAGAGGAGCAACCCAATTTATTATAAAATCCTTATGATTTGTTTCTGAACAGCACTGAAATCGGCTATTTATTTGTTTTAATTGACATTCTGATAAACCGTACTTACAAGCGTTTGTTTAAGTTATAAGCAGATTCAAGTATCGTCACTATTATTATCGATATTACTACTAAAAGTCAACTTTTAGTGATAGGATGTCTAAACTACGCCAATAAAGTTGTCTGATGTGAGGAGAGTTGGTGCATAGAGCTGCGCACCATCACTATGACATATCCCAGAGTTCAAAACATTCCCATCTCCAAACTCAACCCCCAAAATTGCTCAGTTATTTACAGAGTCTGTTGACGAATTAATTAAATTGGGACGATTAAGCACGTCTTTTCACGGCCATTTCGAGCCTTCCAATAATGAAATTCGTGTCATTCACTCCGCCTAATTGCGATAAAAAAAACAAAAACATGCCAACCAGCGCCAACACAAAACACCATTAATTGAGACGTAATCTGTCTTCCACTTCTTTAGGCCATTTTTTAAAGCAATTAATGCCAATTTCAGTTGGCGAACTAAAAATGGCAAAAAAATGGTAAATTCCTGCAAATATCCTTTGAAGAATTAATCGAAATAAATAAAATTTTTGAGAATTGAAAATGAAGAGGAAAAAAACCCAATCCCAAATTAATGAATTGTCTAATTTTCTTAGAATCTCTTGGGAAGTAATGAAAGTTCAATTTAGTAATAAAATTAAACTTCAAAATATCAACTGAATTTCTCGCGATATAGAAATCATTATCTGAATTAAAATTTCGATTCACTTAAACAAGAAAACTGACAGAACATCCCTCAACTTATTAACTCTTTCGGATTGGATTGCTTGAAAAATTTGCATGGGTTGTACAGTATTAATCGTTACCAAGTTGTCCGATTTTTTATATATTAGTCGAAGGCTGATAACTGAAACCGCAATAAATCAATAAGGGTCCCATTGGCATAGGGAGACTTTGACAGTCTTTAAATACATCTCCCCACCTTTAAAAGTTATTCATTATGTCGCCATCGGCATTCTTACCGTCCTTATACTATTTTAGTAGTATTGCGAACCTGACTCCTACGCTTCACTGTCTACTGCAAATAGAATCAATATTCATGTGCCCAGCTTCCATCGCAAATATACTCACATATTTTTTTTCATCTTCGACCCCCAAAGTTATATAGCCAGGTCCTCCAGTCAGTTTCCTGCCCTTTTACACCCCCCCCCTTCAGTTTTCGTGTCCTATCCTTTGTGTACCATCTCTCTCTGTGATCCACTCTCCCCCCCCCTACTTCTGTTTCTTCTGGGCTGCAAATAATAACCAATTAGTCCTGTTCTTCAATAATTCCAGTTTCTGGATAAGCACTAATGATCTTCCAGTTCCCAGCACCTAATTTCACCAGTATGGGGTGTGCGATAGACTTACCTCCACGTGGTGCACACCTGGCAACGTATACTCATACGGCAAAAAAGTCTATTAACTGGCAGTTGACTTCTCACTTCAAACTACCATCACCTCACTCTATGTCATATTCGACTATTTCCACAGTNACATCTTTGAAACACTCTTCTGTTCCCCCCTCTCGGCTTTCTTCAATGCATTGTAGGGGATTAAAAAGTACTCTTCTCCAAAGCCGACCTGAGCATTGGGAATTTACATGGCTACTTCTTTCTTTGGGTCATGAACGCTGGATTTTTCACGGGTGACTCATAAGGGCACCGGGGGGGGGGGCGAATGAATTCTTCAACGCCAATCATATTTGCTTCAGATAGTTCGGCTAAATTTGTAAGGACATATTTAATTTGGGCAGATATTCGCTTGTTTGGTCATGCCAACATGTACACTGCTAGTAGGATCCCTGGGGCGGGGAGGGGTTGGGGGGGGGGGGGGGGTTGNGGGGGGGGGGGGGGTGTTAGTTATGGAGGAAAAATGTCATTTCATCTAAGCCTTATTACTCAATAAAACTAAAACCTGAAATTATTACTAATTGGTTAATTTATAGCCAATCGAATAAGCTATTGCAGTTCTTCATAGGGACATTTCTTAAGCTACCATGCTGCACTTAGTCTAATACGCGATTTCAACCAATTATGATACGCTATTTATTTACTTGGAAAGTTTTTTTTGATTGTCTTGGAGTCAGCCCAAGAAGAACCAACACACTGAGGTCCTAAAGTTAACTCATTGAACTCATTTTAGAAAGCAACTTCGAGCCCACATATCGAGGACGCGATGTCAACAAAATGACTGACGTTCACTCCAATCGGAATGATTCAAAAGTTAATGACCGGAAGTTGTTCTAAAATAATATACCCCCCTTCCCCACCCCCGCCTCCAAATTACTTTAGTTCAGTTGGATGGAACGAAAAACACCAATCCTCAAAATATGAATGGTATGATCCATAAATATCAGGTATCGATTTTTTTCTAACTCGACGCCCAAGGTCATCAAGAGGGCCCTCCATGGTTCTAATTTAAGACATGAAGGAGAATTTATTCTAAAGCTGGAAGCAAATGTGAGTTGACCAGAGGATTTCTTCACTGTTGACAGGTATACTGAGAGATTGCTTCCATGATTCAAAATCTTTTCTGTAATTATCGAGGACAGAAATTGAAGTGAAAACCAATTTCCTCCTATGAAAAGGAATTGCCTAAATCGGATCACTAATGTGCTTATTCAGTTTTTTAATGCTGAACTTTAAAGACTAACAAAGCTTCATCTTCGACTTTCCTCTTTTGGCTAATGTTAGTCAGTACAATGGTCCATCGTCTCGTGGACATCGACATAGTTAGCGTGCACTTTGGCCATTACGCTACGAGAGAATAGTTTTTGAAAGTTTGCGCAATAACAATAATCTTAGGATGGCATACTACGATATTTATTGGTTCCTCATAAAGTTATAGAGGGCTTCATAGACGTGAGGGATAAATCTGCTACTTTGACTACAATCATGTAAATGTTGAAAACTCCCTGTCAAGAAATCGGTGGAGGAGACAAATCAGTTATTCCGACAGAAATGTGAAATAACTGCTTTAATATTCATGTGCTATATTGTTAAAAATCTACCTGAGACATAAATTAGATTAATTTCTATTTAGAGTTCCTTACTTTGAAGCATTCTTTTCACTATTGAGCGTGTACTAAAAACAATTGTTGGATTAGAGAGAACCATTCGGAATATTTTTGCCATTTTTATTGGAGCACCCACCATAAATCCTTTTTCTATCATTTTCAAGTTTTATCTAGGCTGAATAAATCTAATACTTGTCATATGAGTGAACACTGAAAAGTTAATCCCTGATTAGTTATTTCACATCCAAAACTTTATCCTGAAATAGAAAAACATTTAGGAAGCCTAATAAAATATCTTCATTGGAGTTGAGGCCGACCCACCATCCTTATCTTTCGTGTGAAGGATTATCGATTTTTCTATTCCCACGCTCACATCTTGGCATGCATCACCACTTCGAGCATTGGCTCACCGGACAGCCAATCACATATCCCTTATTCAAACCAATCAATTTTTGTTGTGAATGAAGGACGCTGTTGAGGCTACAAATATTCTTTTTTTATTGAGTCTGACTAACTGTATTTTAATACATGGACAACTGTACGTTAGTCAATTTCGTAGACAATTTTTCCAATGTTTTACTCATATATGGGAACTTCAGAGATTCAGTCGCACTACTCAAAGACGTCAGTAAGCAAACGGCTTAAAGTACCCATTCATGTACTTATAGTGATGAGTTGCAACGACGAAACTTTTGATATTAATAAAACGTGACCTTTAAAAGCATTGTTACTTCAAAAAGTAAGACACTAGGTTGAGTAATATTTGAGCATGAATTACAACAACGTGACTTTTTTCCCTTAGGTTGGATGAAAGTCGAGACTAACAACTAACTGTCTTTTATTTGCTAATTATTCAACTTAATTAAAAATAAACTTATTCAACTTTTCTCAAAATCAAGCAAGTAAATGTTGAAAAACCCTTTATCCCAATTGAAAGTATTTTATCTTTCATGAAAACTTTAATGGGAATTAAATATTTGTACAAAATTAGTATTAAGAAAATCATTTCATTTTTTTTCTAAATTTGCTCAAATGAATGAAACAGTGAAAAATATAATAACACTAAATCTCTCAAACAATTATCGGACATTTAAACCATTAGCAAAAAACGATTGATTCAATCTTCCGCTGATTGAAAGGTCTATAAATAAATTACGTAAGTAAACAAGCGAAAATTTGAAAATCTTTTAAACTTTGCTAACTGTAAAGCAGAATGTCTTAGATAAGAGTCGTCAGGGGCTAAGGTACTCATTTCCTGAATAACTACTTATGCTAACCCGAGAGCAGGGACTATGACAGTCCAACGGACTTTTAAACCCAATTATTACCTCAAAATTTCAACTTTTGAAACGTCAAGCTCTGCTGCTTTGGTAAACCCAATCCCTTCACGATTTTACTATTTAATTGACAATGGCTGAACGACAATGATTCATAAAGTGGTAGAAACTCGCATTAACTACAAAGTATGTAATTGAAAATACACCGAGAGGGCTTAGCCGACCTCTAGACCAAGGCCAAGAGGGTGAGAGTAAACTACTGGCATATGATCTTTAGAATATTAGGTCATGACATACCAAGATTAATTAATTAAATAAAAGCTAGACAACCTTATGAAACTCGAGTTTAGATGAATTAGGACCATTATATTAATTCCACATCGAACTCCATTCTTCAACCTGTTAAAAATTTTCCCCTACAGCTCGTGTTCATCGTGATCCTTGGCCTTGACAATGATTTGCATTCATGCATAGATGTGAATAGTGCTTTAGTACGCTGCTTACAGTAACCAGTTAGACTGATGATTGACTTATATGGCCCCCCCCCTCCCCCCTCCCCCCTCCCCACCTCAAGTCCACCCTCTCCCCTCTTAAATCGATTTATACTTCCGCCCACGCGCCGTATTAATTTTTCAGATGTACCACTTCCTATTTATTCATATTTGCTCGTTAAATTGGCCATATAAAAGAGAGAGAGCTTTAATGAGACGAGAGTTGCCCTTAAAATAGCCTGCCTCCTCTTCATGAGCACGGTAATCTTCTTGAGCATTTGCATATTTAGAGTGGAACGCTTAGTGCTTCATTATTTAAAACTGAAAAAGAATTAAAGAAATAAAAAAATAGTAATTTCACCTTTTTACAACTTGGCAAGAAGAAAGTATGAAAAATGCAAGTTGGTATTAATGATATTAAAGCGATCTCCAATTTCACCATCTTCGTGGTCAAATAGTATTCTAATATCGCCAGCTAAACATCCTCTATGGTAACCATGTGGATTAAACAAAGCATCATCATTATCTAATAATCATTATTCGTACTAATTGTAAAAATAGCAACTTTTAATTGTGGAAGTTAATGGCACTGAATAGTCATAAGTCAAACAAGCTACAATGGGGGGAGGGGCGGTGGAACAGAAAGATGTGGAGAACAGCGTCAGGGTGACCAAGAATCGCACTTCACATTTGATGTTTGGACGTTCGAGTAGAACCATATTTACATAATGTGGGCGGATCGAAGCAGATGCTTATCTCCTACATTCAGAACTCAATGAACTGGGGGGGGGCTTTTAACCTACGTCTCACCTCCCTAGAATATAATCGAATATAGATTTTTGTTCCAATCACTGAATTTGAACCGCTGAACATTATGCTGATCAACTCAAGCGTGTTTGTAATCTGTTTCCAATTTATAGAAAAAATTGCGGGATTTATCATTAATTCGGCATCACTTCTCTCTTCTTGAACCCTTGAAATGTTTAAATTCCAAAGGATCCCTTGACAATTTCAAATCTATTCTTTATGAAAATAGTTCCGCATGATTCGAACATTCATCTGTCACGTCCTGACAAGGGCATCGATTCTCATTATCTCTATATCTGTCTCGTTTCACCATTGTCCATGTGAGTCCTATCAACGGTCTGCCATTTGTCTGTCGGTAGGCTACCAACCACCTTATCTCTTACTCCCCCCGAATCCTCATGATGATTGATTCAATGCACTTTGATCTTCGCAATTCGTTCATTCTCTACCCTTTGTGAAACGGCTTTAGTGATCAGGCATAGGTAATAGCTTCTATGATCTGGTTCCGCACCCACAATTTCTAAATTGACAACATCCGTCAAAACTAATTTTGAAGAAACGTCTTTGCAACGAAGTCCAATATCGAATCATTATGCTTATCGAAAGAAATGTGATAATAGGTGAAAGCAAAATAGGAGGTAGGTTGGAAGAAACGGAAATCTCGCTTTGTTTTGAAATCTAACTTCATTAGATCTCGTGATCGAGTATATCAATCTTCAAATTTCACAATTTTATCTTTTTAAATAATCATGTAAATTAATTTCTTTTTGATGTTCAGTGAAAGTAACAAACTGTTTCGTTTCGTACAGTTGGTCGTGTCATGACAATATTTTATAGATAGCAGAGTTGACAACAGTTCACTCATATTAATAGCTCTATTTTTCAATAATATATATTTAGTAAATCTAAATGGACTTTGACTTTTAACATTTTTTTCTAAAGAATATCGCATTTCCTTTTTACCCATTTTCGCGATCCAATCATAATTCATCTTCAAATAAATGCTAATTAGTCAAGAAAATCAATTTTTCTGCTTTAATAAAGTTAAAAAGAGGATTTCTTATTTGGAGACCTCATAATAACAAAAAACGTTTCACAAATTGTGGCATTTTCTTTAGTTCATTTTCAGTTAATTAGGTATTTTAAACTACTAAATAGCATGCCCCATTATCTAACTTAATTGGATAAATTTGGAACCATAAACACCAGGTAACTACTTTGTGAACGCCTTCAGTGGTTGAATCGCACGTACTTTATGGATTTCTCGTTTCAAAAAAATGGAATAGATACACAAATCATTTTTGAATCATATTATTTAAAAAATTTAATAAGAAAGTCCGAAACAAGTTTTACTCGGATAACGATTTTGTGGGCATTTCGAGAGGAACAATTTTATAACTAATTCGGAAAACAATATATCCGGGGTAGTTTCTCAGGGGGTCGGGCAGTTTCATAGCATTATATCGATTTTGAAATCATTTCTATTTGCTATTGAAAAATTACGTTCTGGGTCATTAAATCCGTACGTTTATCGTGCCTACTTAACCTTGAAGCGTTGTTTAAATGACCACATCCACAGGCTCGATCCTCTTAGGCTGGCATGCAAAAAGTACTAATACAGCATGATTGCTCAAAATAATGGGAATACCCTTCGATCTTAATCGGAAGTCATCTTTGACCAATGAAAGTGTCCGAGTCCTTCCCTGATATGGAATTACTACTCATAACGGCATTTTGCTTGAATCTTAATTCCGAATTGCCAGGATTAAGATATAATCTATGCTTCGTTGAAATAAAGTAGTATATTTCAATAACCAAGACGAGAGAGCTAGCTTTAATGTGGACTAAAGATTCCCCGAAATTGTACAATTCGAACCATATTTTAATGCAATTTATATAAAATAAGAGTAATTAGCGTTGCAGTAAATGAAACGAACAATTCACAATTCAAAGGGTAAATGACGCGGCTTCCAGTAAAAAAATTAAAAATTTTAGATTTTCAAGAACGTGTAAACACTAAAATACGCAAACAACTCCTTGAGGATAAGTGTTATTAATGTAGTGATTCCTTCTATCAATGCAAAAAACCTTCAAGAATAGACTCCCGGGATTACTAGTGCTAATGCATGCTTGGGAGTGCACACGGGCTTTATGGAGAAGCCTCCCAACCAATCAGCGTTAAAATTTGTGCAGCTTAGTGTTGATTGCGCTCACTTACAGAACCTTTTGTAGTGAAACTCCCCATACGCTAATTTTCAGAGCATTTATACCGAATAACTTTGATGGAGACTTTTCTGTATTTATTTCTGGTATTTTCGAATTCTAATTGAATTATTAAGATTCGGCTAAGTGATTGTTTGCATGATATTCCTTACAAACTTCGGGTGAACCTTATGAGTAAGTCGAATTTCACGAAAAGTACTGCGTGAATCACCCAAATTCCAAACTTAAGAATAAAAGAATTCATAGGCGAGGTGATGTAATAAAAACATGTGGATATATCTCGAACATGCTGCTAAAGCAAATATCAAAGACTAAAACTTTGCTAAATTCCTTAATACGATTTTTGTTAATATTGGTATTAATTGGTAATAAATCGCTTCAGTGAAATGACTATCACAAATTAAAAATCATTTTAGGATTAATTAGACATACCTCTGTAGTCAGGAAAGCATGTTTTCAAAGGTGAGGTGGGCAGCTTCTTCTGAAAAATGTCAAATTTGTTGAGAATGAGGAAGATGGATGTGCACTTGGCGAACCATTTACTATTGCAAATCGATGCAAAGAAGTCCATGTCTTCCCGAAGTTTCGGCTTAAAGAATAAAATAAGGTGTTAAAAAAAGCCAGATTTCAAAGGAAGTACTAATTAAAATATTTCTGCCTAAAATGTTCTACCATCAATTCATCAAATCGTTCCTGTTACAGCACTGTTTTGTCTTTAAATTTGGACAATTTAAAATGTACGCCGTCGTCTAGAACTGATTTTCAATAGAGTACATTAGAGTGTAAAGCGTTGTTTGCAAGGGCCAAAAAATACTACAAAATCCCTAAAAAGTTATCCCTAACTTTGAAGACATAAGTCCAAAACGATAGAAACTACGACATTGCGAAAAATTCCAGCATTTCAGTACCCTTGCTATGCAAACAAAATATGTGGAAATCGCATTTAATATAGACGAGCAGAGTTCACGAAATCAATTCCCATCAGTGGAATTCAGTGATATTTCTCACAACAACGGCTCCATAATGTCTCACATCACCTAATTTAACAGACTGTGGAAAGGGAGATTAACTCAAAGAAAATAAAATTGCTAAATGTTTTTAAAGAGTGGTGATAACTGTTAACAAAATGTTCTTAACTTACAACTAGATTTTCTCGATGAGGAGACTTAATGAAATGAAGAGACTATACTTTCATGAGCAAGAACTCCAGAAGTAAAATATAACAATTTGAAGAGTTCTCGTTTAAGCCCATTAGAATCTGTGAGCAATGCACTCTTTTGACCTATTCATGAATTCGATACGATCTTAAAGAATAGACTTACTACTATAATACATATATATGTTTTATATGAAACAAATGAGATAATTGTTTTTTCTATGCATTTGATTAAAATAGAAAATTATAAATTAGGGGTTAACAGAAATTTATTTATATCAAATGGCAGGTGTCTTGATGGTTATCATTAGCCCTTTAGTTGACTTCAGGCTTCACAGAGGGGAAGGAATATCAAAGTGAAACAAGTCGAGATGGAGAGGGGGAACAGAAAAGAGTTTCAAAGATGTAGGAGACAGACACAAAGGTAGAACAAAGGTAAGGTGAGCACTGTGGAAGTAGTCGAATATGACATAAAGTAAGGTGATGGTAGTTAGAAGTGAGAAGTCAACTGCCAGTTAATAGACTTTTTTGCCGTATGAGTATACGTTGCCCAGGGTGCACCACGTGGAGGTAAGTCTATCGCACACCCCGGTTTAACAGAAATAGTAACCATAATAAAAATGCTTATACTTTCAGAAGATTTGTTGTAAAATTAACTTTAGATGAGCTTAAAAACGACAGCAATGGTGGGAAAATGTGGCTTTGACACTTAAAAAAATTAACATTTGATTTTTATCGAACTATGAAACAGATTATTCCTTATATTAATGAAAGTTCCAGAAAATAATTATTATATAATAAATTTGATAAAATAAATAAGCGATTATAGTTCCATTAGACCTTATTTTATGATATATTATAATTAATAAAGGAGAAATGGCGCTGATGAAAATTTGGGCTCTGTAACGTAGAACTCGTTAGAGTTTAAGTTAACGTTATCCGATTTTTTGGTCCTGTTAAAAATGTGGAGTGAACAACACCTTCAAGGCCAAGTAGTCTTGTGAAGTAGTCCTGAAGGGTTTTTTGTACGTTCCGAAGCCTTCTCAGCTAATTAGCTATTAATACCGGTTCAATATTGCGTTGAATGCATTCGTTCACTGATCATGCCTGCAGTTGACGAAAATCGTAATACATGTCATTCATTCTAAGCGCTCTACTTCTTGAGTACCATTAAGGTGGCGTAGCCATTTTTAAGGACATCTATAAGACCTAAATAAGGCTTTGTCTTGCAGTATCCAATGAAAATGTGAGTGTGGTGTTAAATTACATGTGAATACATGTGATTTTCATTAATTAATTCCCACATATCTTATTTATACACTTATCATTTGAAAAAACGTCCAATGTTTAGAAGTATGTTAAAAATGAATGAATAATTTATTAATGGGAGAAAAATAAAAGAAGAGAAGAAACATCAAAAGCCTACATTAGTAATATATAAATTGCTTATAAAAAGCATGAATAGAAACCAAAAACTTTCTTTCTGCTAAAAATTTGTCTTATAAAAAATTAATTAATATCGTCATTAAATTGCAAGGTAATGAAGACCTGCCTTTTCATTGGAGACACCCACATTGACATCATAATCAGAAAGAGATGCCACAAATATAATGGCATCGACATCATCAAAATAGTATGCGAATTTTGATAACCTCGATCGACTCATTGCAGGCATTACAAATCTATATAAAAATGAATAAAATGCGCTTAAAATACAAACCTGAAGGATAATTTATCACGGGTAATTATTTCCTCATGTAAGCCCATTTGTCCACATTTGATGTTCAAGATGTCATCTCGGGTGGGGAGGTAATCATTTTGCGTAATACGTTCAAGACAGGAAAAGAGACTTGAAAAAAAGATGCAATAAATCAACCTACTACTCTGTAGTAAGTCCGTACTGTGACAAATTATTTTTAACAAAATCACAAAATTGACCATCTTCCCTAAGCTGCTTTAAGGCATCAAGTAAAAAGGAAGAATTAATAGAATAATTTGAACTCGACGAATTCTGGAAAAGAAACTGCACAACTTCCTAAAAATAAATTTTAAAATAGACAATATGAACATACCATTGACTTGGGTTTCTCGAAATTTAACCCCGATATTCCGAAACTCCGCAACGCAAACAGAAGATAGGTCATTAAGTTCGAATAAATTCTTTCCCGCATTAAATGCAAAGAATTTTCAGAAAAGGAAAACCCATTAAAAAATCTTTCGTTATAATGTTATTATGTATTACTTTACTCGGTTATAAAGCGTATTACGACCAGAAGTTTCGTTACCTAATAAATATTGTTTACAAGACATAAAAACAACCCAAAATAATTATCTGTGAAGTTCGGATTAATTTTTCAAATTCAAATTTAATATAATCATCAATTTCAAGTGATACAATTTCTGCATCAGTTTTCTTAGATTTCTTTGGCACGCATTGCAGCCCCGCGAACATGAGCCAAATATTTTGAAATAGTGCCTATTGATTTATGACCTAGATAATAAATTATAACAAATTGTAAATTGATGTTGTGATTCACGAATAAATTATTTAACCATATTAAAAAGTAATTTAGCTACTTATTTTGTATATATCTTTTATAGGAATCTAAGTAATACCTCATGAAACTTTAAATCAGCCAATAAATTCTGCGATTTGGTGCGGAGCCCACTCGTTCTATTCAGTCGCTAATTTTGACTTATTCGTACGCACGTGATCGTACCGAGTTAATATTCTTTTTAATGCACTATTCGCTTTACGTTAATATGTGTCTTATTTCCTTTTTAGATGATGTCTCTCAACCAACGCCCCAAAAAAGAATCCATTATTGATTTAAGTCGCTTTTTGGATAAACGCATCAGAGTTAAATTCAGTGGTGGGCGTGAGGCCACAGGTCTTCTAAAGGGTTGTGATAACCTTCAAAACATGGTGCTAGATAACACCGTTGAGCACCTTCGCGATCCTTCTGAACCTTCTCAAATCACTGAGGCCACTCGTGAACTTGGGCTTGTTGTTTGTCGGTAAGTTTAATCTTAACTTCTTGGATAATTTATTTTTGATTGTTTAGATTAATAATTTCTTTTTTTCAATGTTATATGAGGATTCCGCCTTAAATTTTCGCTTAAAAAACGGAAATTTTAAGGTTTTTATAATCATGATAAAGTCTAGACCTAGCATTCGAACTAACTTTCTCGATTTTATGCCTCATAAAAACGTCAATGCGATGAGTACAATAAATTAATGTTGCTATCTATAAGACTGAGGTTATAGAGTGGAAACTTATTAGAAGACAATAAAATTTCAATTAGAACATCTCGGAGCATATTTACCATACTACAGCAGGTTTCCCATTACAGAGGCTCCAAATGTAACTTCGTAAAGAATTTCCTTAGTAGGTTTAAAAATGCTCTATTCTTCAATAAGTCTCGATTCGTCGAAGAAAGATTGAATCTCCTTGATTAGAATACATGGATTCCCCAACGATCAACCTCCCAATTTTTATTTGGAATTGAGAGATACCCATGCTGCCACTCCTCATAACCAACACTCATTTAAACGTATTATTCAGCTTTTAGTGTTTACCATTAGAGTATTTCTAATGCATTCTTGTTTTTAGGGGTCCTTCCGTGGAACTCGTTTGTCCTGCCGACGGAATGGAATCAATCTCCAATCCGTTTGTCTCCCAGGAATAAAACAAGTCCCTTAATATTTGTAAATATCTTACCCAATAAAAAATAGTTTTGTATCTTACTGCTTTATGGATTTGTAACCGAGTGTGGTTGAGTGAAAATGTGGTTTTGATTATTTGTTGTGGAAATAGGGCCTAGAACTCGTAGGTTTGGTTTAATGGAGATAAGCCAGTGCCGTTGGGGTTGTTTTACTATGTATGGATTGGATATAAGTAAAATATTGGGAAGCGAATAATCCATTCAACCGAAGCCTTCGTTTCTAATCGACTTAGAGATTAGAGACTACATTAAGAACAACAGTGCTGTGGGGGTTTTAGATTAAACCTCTAACACTGATCAGATCCCCAAAGTAGCTTTGCTATCAGAATTTGGATTGATTCAGTGGGTTCAATTCAGTTAGAATATAAAAATATATACAGGAATTTAAGGTGCGAATCTTCTATACAAAAAAGTAAAGTCACATTTTTAAATATACCGTTACAACATGGAATCACATTTTTGAGGCTCCCAGATAGCATCACAAGTCAATAATTCCGAATCGGGAATATCTTGCGGAAGGGGATTAATGTTCTCTTTTGGTCGAGATACAATAGCTTCGTTTCGCCGTTTAGCACCACGTTTTGAGGAGGATTCTTTAATACCGGCTTCCCATTCTTTCTCCACTAATTTGTAAATTTCCATATTGGCTCTGGCATCTTCTGCAGAATTGTGTTCCCCGACCTGGATCTGAATTCCGAGCAAAATGGCCGATAAGCGTTTTAGAGATACGCTCGCATTGCCTTTCATGAGGGCTTTAGTTTTTGCATAAGGAGCTTTTGATGTATCTCGAATTAATTCTCTGGGATGACGAAGGTCAAGCACTGCAAAATCATGCGACAGCGCATGGCCGACAACAATTCTATCCTGAAAACAAACCAGCCATTTTAAAACAGACAGAAAATTTGGAGTCCACAGTGGTAAAAAAGGATAGAAAGTTACTTCAATTATTCGCTTAACTTGATCCTGAACAGCCGAGAACGGGATTGCTCGGACCATATCTTTTGGTCTAATACCGCTGTACTTAGTGCGATAATCTGTGATAACCTCGACTGGTTTGCAAATAACATCATATAACACAGTCCCATCATAAGCGACTATTGTTGCCCTGGCTAAAGCGCTTTCCATTTTCTCACCGACACCAACCATCTCGCAATCCAAGGCTATGGGACCGGCAGGGAATGTTGAATCTCTAAGCATTTGTAACCCTAGATTTATATTTAGTCAGTGCCAAAAAGTTACCAATTGTGATATTTGAATTTTCGTTGACTGGGGAAGGTAAAACAACCCTATTTTTATGCTTGGCTGCTCTCCGTTTCCTTTTACGAGCACATACAACCATGCTAAACTAAGTCTCAACGGCTGTGTTTTGTTTATTTAAGCACTCGTGACCAGTATATTTAAGTACTCCGGTATGTATTCGTAATTTATAACAATCGTTTATCTGACGTGATCTAAATATGTTCGATAATTAGCTTTATTTGAACTTCCATTTTGCTTGAAAGTTGAATCAATATTTGGTTGGTTCGCACTTATTTTGTTCATGCTTTCGTGTTTATTTAAATTACTTATTCCATATATAATAACTATTCAAAAATATACATTACTATAACTCAGCTATATTACTGATTCAATGGTTTTAAATACACACAAGTTAGGCCCTTTTAAATTCACTTCTATTTTGTTTCAATACTTACAAAGCAGTTAAAAACTATGCAAGCACTAAAGGTAATTCAATCCGATTAATTATTCAAACTATAAAGTGCATAATGATACTAGGACATACTGAGATAATCTTATTCATACTAGAATATTCTGGTAAGAATGGCGTGAAATTGTCCGCTCAGCGACAGTACGACAGTATATGCATAGACCTCTCTGCAAATTAACAACCTATAATCGTTGCAATATGTTGTAGCCTTATTTACAATGAGTCCCTAAGCATTCCAACAGTTCCCTTTATTGACAAGGGAAGCTACTTACTTCATGCGTACTGATTCATCATAATGATGCCAGTTTATTTTATTTAAGAATCATTAATCTGCTTATTAAGGGAATCATATGGGACTTTTCTGGATCACTACAGATTATGAAACTCTTAATTTTTACGTACTTTTGTACCTGAAATTGGTAATGAATCTACCTAGGCCAAGGTATGCTATCCCTTATGGTAATCAATACTCTTGGTGTATCAGAATTAGCTTATGATAGTGTGCTTGCTGGATATTTGCTAATGCGTGGTAAATTCAACATCCAAATGAGAATTATTAGCTAACTTTGACATTCATATGCATAATCTTGGTTAATTTGTGATGGGATTCCATGCATATAATTTTACGTTACCATTGTTTGACATCACCAACGAACAATGATGTCTAATATTTTATCAGTGAATGAAAATGGCTTTCCAGTTTTATTGACAGCGAAGTACTACTTGCCCAAGCTTAAGAAATTTAAAATGGGTGACGCAAATGTGTGACTCATTCTTCCTTTAGTAAACAATCCTGCATTCTGCCTAGATTGCGTAAATGCTAGATGTGCCATATTGAACATGCACACCATATCTGAACTTTAACTTTCAACTCACTAAAGCAAATAAAGTATGGTAATGTATCAAATACTCCTTTCCAAATTTAGTTTTAGATGATAACATTTCGCTTCACATGAACTTAGTCGCAGTAAGAGTTCGTGAAGCATGAAGAACGATCTTGTTCGGATCATCAAGGACTCACTTTAGGATGTCCAGATCTATTCTGTAACTCTTTTCCCAACGGAATACTATAGTAGTACTGCGGTAGGTGCTGCGACTCAGGAGATGGCGTGATGTGATAACGTCAGCAGTATTATTGTATTCTCTTAAAGCTTTTACCGAGCCATTTTTATTAAAAAAATACGAGAAAAACATCAAATTAAGCCTCCAAAAATTCAATTAAATCATGTTAATAATGTTTAATTAGGGCCTACTATTTAATACAATCAAATAAATATGCAAATTAGGTAATTGGTCAACAATAAATTGCTAATTAAATTGTCACTTGAAGAAGTCATATATTTGGAGCCTTAAAATTTACCCGAAGGTGTTTTAGCAACCGTACTTGGACTAATAGACACCTCGAACAATTGCGACGCCTTCGCCCACCAATCAAGGATATGAATATGAAATTTGGAAACTGAACTACTCATCATGAGATCATTTTACAGCAAAAGTAAGTGGAGCAGGGCTCGCATCTCTGAAGGACATATTGGACTTATGTAAAACTAATTTAATTCCCCTCTTTCTTACTGGAAAACAATTGATTACTTTCCTTGAATTGAAATAAGAGGAAGCGGGGTGTACGATAGACTTACCTTCACGTGGTGCACCCTGGGCAACGTTTACTCATACGACAAAAAAGTCAATAAACCTGTAGTTGACTTTTGACATCAAACTACCATGGCCCCACTGTATGTCATATTCGACTACTTCCACAGTACTCACCTCACATTTTTAATACCTTCGACTTTAAAACACTTCTGTTCCCTCCCCCCCCCCTCTTGACTTTTTTCACTTTGATGTTCCTTCCCCTCTATGAAGTCTGAAGTCAACTAAATGGCTAATGATAACCAGCAAAACGCCTGTCATTTGATATAAATAAATTAGAATGAGAGGAGCTTGAATGCTAAATTAGAGCAAGGAATACTGGGGTTTTCCGAAAATCCTCCCAGGGCGGTTAAACGGAAAATCCCATTTCATGCACCTATTTTTTGAAGCCAAATAACCACCCACCCGAATGAGTGCATGTGGGTGTGATTATTCGGACTTTCGGAAAACTCTGGTAAAACGCGCACATTTCCTTCCGTCATATATTTTTCACCGATGGTTATTACTATTCTCGAGCACAATCGCCAAATTTTGGTGGGACTCGATGCAAGTTTTATCTCGCTCTTTATTGCAAGACAAAAAAATTATCAACACCAAACTTTGCATGTCATTTCAACTTCGACATTTTTCCACTTCTACAGTTGACAACAGACCATTTTCAGCCTTGTGAATAACAGTCCAGTCAATTATGCCGACCGAAGTTCTCCAATGGCCTTGAAAATCATGTTTCTTGGTTTGGGGTTGGTGTGCGCGAAATCTCAATATCTAGGAGTGTTGCTGTACTCGATATCACAGCGCATACTTCATAATTGTGCTATTATTGTTACCTTACTGGGATTATAACAACTCAATCACCGCGTAGTGGCCAAATTGCAAAGGATAAGAAGAAAGACAGCGTTTAGTACTCGAATGAAACTTTTCAGAGAAAGAGAGCTATAATGAAGAAAGTCAGAGAGAGAGTAAAACAGAGAGGAGCTGACTGAATGACCTGGCTATAGAAGTTGGAGAGAAGATAGATAAGTGTTAGAAAACAATTGACTTCGAAGTCAATCCCAGAGGAAGCTTGAACCTGAGTATGCACAATTAGAATCTATAAATAGTTGGCGAACAACTTGGAAGTCCAACAGTGAAGATAGAGGTAACAAATTGACATCAAGAACTTGGAAGGGGGAGTGGAGGGGGGGGGGTAATGTCTAACGATCAGTTGACTTTTCACAGAAGTTTTGATGGGCGAGTCGATGTGCGCATTTTGTGAAAAGACATGGAGAGCTAGGGAACACGGAGAGCACTCTGGCAAGAGCCTGATACCGTTGGAAAATGTGCACATAAATTGGTAGGCTGAACGCGATTGAGCTCATTAACACCACCTCAAAAATAATGAGAGAAATTTTCAGTTTAATCAAGGGTAGAGGAAGACACTACAATTCCAACTCATAAAGAAAATGGAATGTGAAATTTGGATTTTTGGACATTAACTAACTAATTATTATCAAAATGTAAAAGCATCTGAAGGTGACTACAATCAGTGCCTTAGGAAAGTATTAAAAATAAATTTACTCTAATAAATTTGTGCTTGAAAAGTCATTGAGTCGAAAACTCATTACGATTCCTCTTTACTGATCTACAAAACGATATCACAGCAAGGAAAGTGCAGACATTAGCTGTTACGGAGAAAACTACTTACATTTCAACTCGAACTCGAACACAGAGTATAAGAAGTTCACATAAGGATTAGTTTCAATACTGGTGTAATGAAAGGTTAAAGTAAAATATAAGAATTAATTCACAATTCTAAGCTCATCTTGACATTCTCCTTCCTACAGGAAGTCTAGCCAATAAAACTCTACCACCGTTTAATCATTTCTCAAAACTATCTTGGTATAGCATCGCTTGTCAGCTTGTAAACATTATGGACACTTGACTATTGTTTTAAAGTGTAGGAGTAGTTATTAATACACTATCATCGATCACCCACTGTACACACTAAATACATATATCCCGATTTACGGGGTGCGTAATAGACTCACTTCCCCATGGTGCACCCTGGGAAATGTTTACGCATGCATCAGAACAAGTCTATAAACCGGCAATTGACTTCTGACTTCAAACTACCATGACCAGATGGTATGTCATTTTCGACCACTTTCACAGTACTCACTGTACCTTTTCCTCTACCTTTGTGTCTGCCTCTTTTACATTTGTGAATCACTCTTCTGTTCCCCTAATCTCAACTTTTATTTGACTTAGATGTTCCTCTCCCTCTATGAAGCCCGAAGTCAACTAAAGGACTAATGACAACTATCAAAAGCCTGCCATTCGATGCAAACAAATTAATATCCCCGTTTTGTGCTTCCAATATACAAAAGTGGCGGTGGATTGGGAGCAAAGTACAACGATCTCGATAGACAAAAAGATTCATTTGATGGCAAGCTGTGGCTGATTTTGTCTAAATCGCTCTGCATCAAAGGGAATGTATCATGTGATCAGGACCAGGATACATCATTCTACTTAGATACAGATACCTCAATCGGCGTGCAGAAATGCTATGAGCATTTGCAAAGAACAATCCGTTACAATCTGGAAGACGATTTGAACTAATGCTTTTACCTCCATTATATTTAACGATAGCCAAATAAACTTCGTTTCTCAAATAAGACTGCGGCGTGTTCCCTTATTGCTTAGACACTCCATGTATAAGCTCTGGTTACCTTGGCAACAGCTGGTTGATCAACATTGATTGCCTACACTGCTGTAGGCCTTAAATGTTTGGGTTACGCAGCTTTAACCTACCTAACCCACTTGACCTTGCAGGACTACAAGTGACTCAGACACGAGATGAGAGGGGCAAGAAGTTGACCCAGAGCCTATGTAAATGCCTCGAAATTATTTTCACATTGTTGATTACTGGAAGTTTGCATACAGACTCGACCTGCAAAAAAAAAGTTCGAAACAAGCCAACAGATCTGCCTAGTCTTTCGTCTTCCCTCCAGTATAGAAATCCCAATTCGAACATAAGGGTGCGATTTAAAATAACCAATAATATTAAAACATAATGGAAAATATAATGAACTAGATTGACTCCTTATATATAACATAAAATGTACAATTTCAATGAAATTCAACTCCAGTTCAATACGCCAATAATCGAGATATGGTGCGATTGAAGGAGATAAGGTCTAGTTAGTTTCTTACATAATGCATAGCAATAAGGTAAAGAAAAAACACGATGATACCAACCGCACTCCACGATGACCAACCAGAAGATTTGCTACTTTTCTTCCTTTTAGAAAAAATCTCGTTCCTCGATCCACCGGTATTGCTTTCAAGATCATTACCTTTCAAATCAGCCTCCCATTCCTTTTCGACTTGGCGATAAATTTCCATAGTCGCGCGCGCATCTTCCACTGATGAGTGTTCATTTTGTTGAATTTCCTTTCCAAAAAACTCGAAATAGAGGTCACGAAGGGCTACTAAGCCCCTTTTACCTCTTCCTAGTCGTACTCTAGGATAGGGAGCTGTGCAAGTATCCCGAATTAAATAATGTGGATGACTTAATCTTAATACCTCAAAATCATTCCAAATTGCATGACCAACTACGATACGATTCTGAAAGATAATAGATATTAGTAACCCCTATCCACAAAATGTGAAATTACTTTAATAATTCGTATGACTTTCTGACGGACAACTTTCAGTGGAAGAGCATTCACGAGATCTTCAGGACGAATTCCACTGAACTGAGTTCGATAATCTGTGACCGGTTTGTCTGGACGAGAGAAAGCGTCATAAAGAACGTTGCCATGGTAATCTACAATGCTGACTCTTGCAAGAGCATTCCGATTATATCGTCCAACACCAACCATTTCACAATCAAGAGCAATAGGACAATTCGGAAACATAATGATTATCGAAGATTACTCTCCTAAAAGAGAGAAAATATAAATAAAAAACATAATAAAAATACCAAAATGTTTGTCTATGAGGATAATCAGCTATTAATATCCTTCACAAGAACCCGAAACGACAATGGGCACCCCGACCCTGAGCGGCGTTTGGGATAGGTAGGCCTTGTTCTAGGTCATTTATTCTTACTTTAGACAATCAAATTTACTAACCTAGCGTAGCTAAATGTTTAACATTACTTGATTAAAATAAAATCTATGTAATTTTCGTACTTGAGTATTTCTGTCAAGGATTTTGATTTCAACTTTTTAATAATAAGCAATGTAAATTAGCAATTGCAATTTTGCACATATCGTTAAATTGACTCTATTCTAAACTCATTGTCATCCGCTTATATCGTTGTTCTGTCTACAGTACCAATATTTAGAGTAAACATTAGCTTTCCTAAATTACTTTTAATATCGATAACTTATGAAACTTTTATACTTCGGCGAAACAGATTTAGTATAAAATTTTAAATTATATGGACACTGCAAATAGGCTCTTTACGAAATGAAAACACATAAATGGATGAAATCGTCACATTTGCTTTTATAATCCGTTTATAAAAGATTAATTCAAAACTTTATTGATCGGAATATTACTTTCCAATTCTGGACAAGTTGAAATTTCTTGTTGAATGTAAGAAATATAGTCAACGTTAAAATCACTAACTTTCGACTGAAATTGTCAGAGATAGTAGATGCTACTAAGCAGCCCTGAATATACGAAAGCTTGATTAATATTACACGAAGATGTGTTCCCAAGGAATCTTTATTTTTAAATTAGTAAATGAGAGGTTAGTGGCTTTCTATATTACTGCTATGTGTCTATGAAAATGTTTAACTGAGAAGTAAGCCAATCGACTGGAATGTCATTAATAATTTTATTTCAATCAAAGTCATTCGACTGATTTTCCTCCCACTGCACATATAAAAGGCCTGCTCAAGATATCATTTTACAAACCACAGGGAACAAAATTAGTCTGTTACAAAAGGGAGTGAAAATACGGATCATAACGCTACCAGGGCTGTACAAAGAGATTTTGTGAGCTCTCGAACAGTCTGTTAGGTGCGGCCTTGATGCTGATCGCGAAGGGAAAAAGAGCAGTCATGAATATAGGCGTCTCTAAGATTTGTGATGAATGAACGGTCTACGCTCAATACACTTCGTTTCCTCGATATTGCTGTAATAATTTGGCCGATTTCTGGGGCAGTTAGATAAAACTGGATTATGCCATAGAGATTACTGAGGCTTAGTCAAGGATTATGTGTAATGAATACTTTGAGTAATTACGATTTGAATTTATAATTTCACCGTCATCATCTTGAATTTTCGAATGAATTTAGAAACTTTGTTGTAATTGGCTGCTAGTGACTGTCCCATTAAGAGAGAGAGAGAGAGAGAAAGAGAGAAAGAAATAAATGCGTTAAACCTTCTAGGTTAAATTTTTTGATGTACAATAGGATAAGTTTGGTCAGATTGTATAAATAAACTTCACTGACAGTGCTATTTATTTGATATCATATTTGCCACACACGGCATGACCTTGGTAACATATCTGATACACTTAAATTGTAATTATTTATTAATGGTATAAGAACTGAAGCCTCAGAGAAAGAATTTTTCAAGCCACACTTTCCATCATGAGTTCAAGGTTGGCTTGGAAAACTTCAAGAGTGATATGATAAGTTCAGGAAATGACATGCCTGACAATAAGTTGAACGAGGCACACGGGATGTGTTTCAAAACTTGCTGAGTTAGACTGGTGTAAGCGTTGAGATAAATTTACCCAACCTGAAAGCAGCTTAATAATGCAACTTAACCTAATTTCATCAAATTCAAAGAATAAAATACAAATTACGTAAAATTAAAAGAGAACCAATTCTAATAAGTGATAAAAATTACAAAATCTTTTGGATCTGATTTCTATATTAACCCCGTTAGCATTTTCCTTTACCAATACGTAAACCTACTTAAAGGTAGAGATTGAGCAGGTTGATGAAAGAATTCGAGCAGCATCATTTCCTGTCTCTAAAAAATGTAAATCCCCTCTCTCAAAGGAGTTTGGAGGGGAAAAATATCCTTCACACAACTTTTTCCTATTAGCTAAAGGCAGGAGTCTTCATTTTTTCCGAATTCTATAATGTATTAATAAATGGTCATTGACAACAAGGCTCCAACCACTTCACTCTAATGTTTCGACTGTCTCGTCACGAGGAAATTTATGTAGCATTTCATAAGTGATTGAGCTTGAAAGGAGGGATGGAAAGACTAAATGCCTAATAAAGATAAATTGTGTTTAATTTTGAGAGAGTATCTAGCAGGAGACGGAAAATCGTAAGTTGGCAGGTGATGAGTTGACTAGGTGGATTCTAAGCTTTATATGCTTCCACAATTTGATTTATTGTGCCCACGTATGCTCCATTGAGTAATAGGTCAAAGCAAACTGCCTCAGTAATGCTTAATTGCATACCGATGTTAATCACGTGTCAAGGGTGACTAAGATAGACGTTAATTGAGCAAACAGTCTGATATGTGCTAAATTAAATGCAAGCGGTAAATAAGTTTAATACCACTGTCAGAAAGATTGTAATAAAATCCTACCATTTGGATTATTTTTAATTTCCATCGTAAAGGAATCCCAATTTTTATACTTTAATTGAAATAAATATCTTCTAGTGATGGTCACTCAGCTGAAGAATTTCATTATGAACTATCGCTTCCAAGGGTGTTTGAATATTTCTCCATAACTAATTAGTATAAAACTTTTGGTTTTTTGCTATTGGAAAGGAATAAATACTTTTTTCACAATGGCTGTCCTCATTCAATGTTAAGTGCTAATTTTTCAGATCATGGTTACTTGATCTTCCAAGTACGTTTAACTTGTAAAAATTTAACCCACTTTCTGGCCTTACTCTGCGTACCCGTCATTTATCCGCATGTAAATAGCTCCTTGCTTTCAGCACATTATACAACTTGCGTTTCTTTAATTTCTCTCCAACTTACTAGTATCTAAGTTCCTCTGCTGTGTTTTTCTCAAAATCTATGCATTATTTTACCGCTTCCTTTACAACTCAAGTTTGTGGATTTCATAAAACAGGCTAAAACAGTAGATACCGTAACTCTCTGTTCAATGTTGTTGATTATCAAGTTATATTCGCAACGGCTTTGTATCCCCCTTTTCCGTCGGAAGTTGTTTAAGTCTATTTCGATTAAGTTCAATTCAATAAGGAGATGGGGTGGGGGGTTCACCGTCAAAGGTCGAATTTTTTTCTGTTTACATTTGTTCAGGTATGAGTGCTAAGACATTAACGTCTGATTAAGTGAAGGTAAGGGTATAGTGACAGTATTTTTTTGTCAAAATGTTAAAATGAAGTGACAGCAAGTATTGAAGTAAAGTGGTCATTGGGCCAAATCTAACAATTTTAACGCATGATGCAACATGTGCAAAATGCATGACAATTTTCATTTGTTCAGTTCGAAATTATTGCTTCAATACAAGTTTTGAATGCGAATAATCCGAATGGCAACATTTGTGGAATTAACATGTGCTATGCATTTTGATCCCTTATACCATGTTAACAAAAAAATAACAAAATCGATTTTGGGTGGAAAATTATCTGCACAAACGTATTTGAAGAGAAATCGCAACTATTTAGCAAAACCGGCAACAATTTGTGAAACATTCTTTCTTAATTTCATCTAATGGAGACTGGCTTTCAAAAGTGGGTTCGTTTGTAACAGGAATGCACTTCGGCCCATATTGAGCCTCCCATTCATCTTCTACTAATCGATATATGTCAAGGGTCGTCTGGGCGTCCACGACTGAATCATGTTCACCTGTTTGGATTTCTCGGTCAAGGAGCTTCAGGGCTAAGTATTTAAGAGCCACAGATTCTTTTTTGTTTCGACCCACCAATTTTAAAACAAGGGGAGACGTGCCTGTATCGCGTACTAGTTCGGGGGGATGTGTGAGTTGGAGGGCGTTGAAGTCATTTTTGATCATATGGCCAACAACAACCCTATTCTGGGATAGGGTGGTCATTAAATAATGAAATTGAATTTACCTCAATTATTTTTTTGACATCAGTTTGAACTCTCTCAAAGGACAGTGCGTCTTCCATATCGATTGGTCGAATTCCGCTATACCTAGTTCTAAAATCTGTTATTGGCTCATCTGGACGACTAATGACGTCATAAATAACTCTGCCAGTGTAATCAACAATACTGACTCTTGCCAGTGCGGATCTTTTGTTATTTCCTACTCCAACCATTTCGCAGTCGAGTGCAATGGGTCCAGCGGGGAAGTTATTGTTCTTCAACAGTTCAAGCCCTATGAAATATAGATTATACTTTCTTTTTACTCACCTATAAGTACATGAGATGACCGATTGCCCTCTGATTGATTCTCAACCATGACTTGAAAGACCTATTCCAAGTGCTTAATATGGAACAGCAAATTAATTTAACACTGCAAGAGGTATATATATTATGCACTGGCGATTAGCCAGGTCACATTCCAGGAGGCCTTCATTTTCAGGAACAGTAGATTAAATAATAACAAAGAATAAAAGATAATTGTTATTTATGGTGATTTATTAATTGATTGGATTTATCTACGCAAAATTCTGAAATGCATAAGATAAACTCTCACAGTGAAGTAAATTAGTACAATTTTTTTTGATCGAAGTATCAATATTTTATATTGTTCAATGTTTTCGTCCGAATAAAATTTAATTGTGCAATTATCCAAAATTTAATTCTGAATTTATATAATAATAATAATAATTGCCAAACCCAATTATTGAATTATATTTCAACGCCATCCTAAGAAGTGAGTGGAATCAAGAAGCCTGTCGGGGTGACAGACACTAAGGTTACCACCCACTGCATCATCTGGGCTTAATAATGTTCGAATAAAGTTGGACACCTGAGATTAAGTCACTAGAATCTATAATAAATGAATTCATTAAACTATCCTTAAGATATAACGCCAATTTAAAGACAATCAGATTGTAAGATATCTTTAAAAACTCTCAATGCTTGCTCACCGAACGCCATATTTTCAAAAGATAGTTTTTTAGAATTCTTAAAAATTATAGGGAAATTTTGAACAATAAAAATTATCAAAAATATGCATTTGATAACCCACTTAATACAATTAATTTGCATAGTTATTTGCACATTGAATGAGAAGTATAGTGGGATATGAAGTGTGTGTATCGTTTTGAACATAAATATATAAATAATAACAACGTAGAATGTAAAATAACTTACCAATCAATATTTTCTGATGTGCTGCTGATAGTGAAATATAGTTCAATCTGAACAATGTAAATACACATGCTATTTAGTAAAAAGAGAACAATTCGGAAGGTTTTTAATAAACCACATAAAAATCAAGTCTCTTTGCAACCTTATTAAGGAGATCTCGAGAATTAAAAAAGCAATAAAGAGCCTACAATTAAAATGAAGGATATTCAACTGACTTAATGAAATGCGAAGTATTTCAAACATATGCGAATTCTCAATTTACAGTTCCATGAATGAGCTATCCCGATTTGGTTGCTCTATTAGATGCATATTAATATTTATCACCACATAGTCTACCTGCAAGTTATGCTCAGAAAATGAGAAAATCTTTTCTTTTTTCTTGTTTTTTTCTAATGGATTATCGACTGCATAAATTGTCGACATATCTAATGCTTTTTAAATCCATCTATATGCTTTAAACATGTATGTTTTCATTGAAGATCCAATGGCGCTTAATTGCTTTTGTTAAATAATAGTAATTGTGTTGTTTATTAAAGCATTTAGAATCTAAGTAAAAACTGTACACTTAAAAGACAAAAACAAAAGCTTTTGGCAATATTTATTAGCAAAAATAATTTTGATTTAATTATTTGGCAATTTAAAAAGCCGGGTAGCAGTTTGCACGTCTGCGACATAAGTTTGGACTAAATATTTGATTGGCTTGGCTAACAACCACAATTTTCCTTCTACCTGTTAATCTTCTCTGGTTAAATTCCATAAATTACCTCAACTGATGTAAAAGTATGGGAACTCATGTTGCGTGGTTCCAAAGCGAACGAGGACATGGTGGCAAAAGAGTGCGGAATAACTAACTCTTATCACTTGTCCAGCACCTAACTATGTTCTTCAAGAAGATAATAATATCTGGACTTTGTCTCTCTGCAATACATTCAGGATTATGATGAACTTTGCCATAATAATCATCTTGGCTTACAATTGATACAGGTCAATGGCAGCAATTAAAGCCGTCATTTAAAGGACTTGATTCTTATTCAACAATTATGAATATCAAATCGTCACCGATTGGAGTGACACCCTCACTGCAAATCAAATTAGGATAAAACTCTTGACAAGAAACCACGTACGAGATAGCGTAATTTTCTTACTAACACTATTTATCAACTACATAAACCCTACGAATATCCCACAACAAAATAAACGAACCGTTGATAGAAATAGCAGGAAAGTTCTTCAATTCGGATACATCAACTAAATGTTAATGTAGACTTCGAATTCATCTTAGCGTCAAGTGCTCCAACGCATCTAGCCTTTTTAGCATTATGGCTTACCCGAATCCCAATGAAAGTATTCTAAAGAATTTTGGCTGAGGTTTGACTATGATAATCAGCAAAATACGCTTATTCTATGGCTTTACTCTTTGATTGAAATGTAATCAAAATATTGAAAATATTCGTAGTACTAACAAAATATAAGTATCAATAAATAGATGCATTTCGCAAAATTTAAAGGTATATACAAGGCAGCTTATTGCAGTCATTGAGAAGCCATTATTACGAAACACGCATCATCTTAGCCTGCTTCTTCTCCTCAAGATCCTTCTTTCTCTGAGCAACTTCCTCATCCCGTTTGCGGAGGAATTCAGCATAGTTGGCAGCGGCGGTTTTGGGATCACCTCTCAATTCAGCCTCCTCTTCACGAGAAAGCACCTGGATTCCAACTCGATGCGCCTCTGAGATCAAACTAGCACAAATTGCTTGGAGGGACCAGGTTTTCAAGTTTACATCATCCTTCTTCAAACAGGCGATCTCGTAAATGTGCTTCAGGGTTAGTTGGCCAGAAATTTCAGTACCTTGTAGGAAGAAAAGGAAGTAATTTTCGACAATATTGGATGTGTGTGTGTGTGACTGATGCTAGGGTGTAAAGACATTTTTAGACTGGTTCATAAGTCGAACAAATCGCAACCGGCAGAAACTTGTTTCCATACCCGTTTTATTTACCACAATGATGAAACTCAAGTAGCTGTTAAAAATGATTCTTTCCCTCTTACGAAGTACCATTACTTTAAAAATAACTTTTATCTCCATGCTTTAAAATTGATGACCACCGAGTCTTAGTAATGGCACAATTAGTAACTCTCCGCTTAAAAAAATGGACCCAAGTGAGAAACAGCAAAAAACGGAATGATGAAAAACACGCTTCAAACTTAAATCAAATAACAATAAATGAGTGGGTAACTTCTGAATTTAAGGAAAAACGTTTAATTTCTGATGAAACGTTTCATAACCGGGAAGCTACATGAGTTAATGGCTTCGAGAAATAAGACAAAGTCAAACTTTCGAAGAGTAGAGAGAAAAGATAGGCGCAGGAAATTTGTGCTTGGACAATCTCTTCATTAGTATTGAAATAATAGAACTACTCTTTGTCACTTGCCAGAAATAATTAGGACAATGATACTTTCGAAATTTAAAATTATCCCCGTGATGTGACGAGAAAAGTGTCCAACGAAATAATAACCATAACGACTTTTCCCTCCTCTTTAAGCGATGAGTACAATAGCAAAAAAACAGCAAAAACTAAACTTCAAATAAAGACAATGAACTCTGTAGAAAAAGCATAACTTTGATAAAACCGAAAAAACCCACCAGGGGTAGCAGCTCCTTTTTTAGTTCCAGCGGCCATTCGGAGGAGATATTGTGAAGGAGGGTGGCACATAACCAACTGATAACTTCTATCAGGCTAAAGAGGGAATTAGACTGAATTAAACTTACATTTATTGTAATTTTGCATGGGATTGGTACACCTGATTTAATGTGTTTTGTTCGCTCATTAAAGTCTTTGCAGAAGTTGGCAATATTGATATTACGCTAAATACCATAAGCAAGTTAAAAAAACTTCCTACTTTTCCTAATTGGGGACCTAAGGGTGGCGCTGGTTTCGCTTCTTGAGCAGGAATGAACATCTTCAGGAAAGGAGGAGATCTAACAGTGTCCACAGCACTTTTGGCCTTTTTGCTCAATTTAGTAAATCGTGAAGCCATTTCAACTATAGGCAAGAAGGATAATTAAAGACGGACAAGTAACGCGAACGATTTAAGGATAAAAAGTGACAAATAAATATGAATATAATTAAAAATAGAAGATTTAAAATGAATATAATTCGATTAGGTGTTGAATGTTATAGAAAAATAAAGACAGCTTACGGAAAAGATTATAAGACGCAGAAATATGTTATCCAATTAAACAAAAGATAAGGGAATTAGATAATAAAATGTAAATATTGCATTCAAAGCAGCAAAATTTTAACAACGCGATCAATTTTCGGCAAAACAAACTTAGTAGCTTATAATTCAAAGTGGAACCTTATTCATTCCACGCCTTTCATGCTTCATGTAAAAAGTTAAACTTCAATGCATTATTTGTCTTTTGATTTCATTGAACTTCAGAACAAATACTGATTAAATTTATAATGTTAGTATCAATATATTTTAAGCATTCAAACTATAAAATCGAGCATTTCCAGTTTAGATTACGAAAACTTATAAAATTAAAATTATTGTTTTAATAAATTGACCAAGTTGAGCTCAACTCAATACTGGCTTAGCATTTTCGTCAGATATATATCTATATTTTTATTTCTTTACTTTCATTGGTATGTCTCCTTATTGTTGTTTTATACAATATTTAAATATGTCTTATAGTTGTATTCTCTTTCAGTCCACTTAATGTTCTATTTAATTGTAAGTGATGGCTTTTACTTCTGCTCCTGAGATAAGAAAATCTTGTAGATTAATGTAAAAGAGTTCATTTAATATAATTTGATTCTAGTTTTATTGTATTTTTCGACTTTTATTTGTCTGTTGTGGTTTATTTTAATATTTTGGGGTCTATTTTATTCAAAAATTTTAGCATACTATTTTGACTTATTTTTCACAATTTTTCCCATATATTTTTCATTTTAGTTTTTCTTTTCGACTCGTAATGGGTCAAGAGGAGTGGCTTGAACTGGAGAGTGATCCAGGACTTTTCACCCTTCTTGTGGAAGACCTTGGTGTTACGGGTGTTCAAGTTGATGAAATTTACGAACTATCTAAGGTTCTAACCGACCCAGTATTTGGTTTTATTTTTCTTTTTCGTTGGCAGCAGAATGAAAAAAAAGTACGCCAAGTTGTTTCTTTTTAAATTTATTCTTTTCTCGTGGATTTTAATTTTTTATTCATCTTGTTAGCACAACTCTCGTCGATCTTCTCGAGGTGGGTCAGGTCCATTGAATAGCTCCCAAACGCCCTCAGTCAGTGGCGTAGATACACCCCTGAATTCCTCTTCTTCTAATGCTGAAAACTCTGCCCCTAACAGCACCAATATTAACAATATTAGTAGTATCTCTTCCAATCAGAATGGAATGCCCCTTAAAGTCAAAACTGAATTCCCTACTTCAGAAAGCTCCGACCCAGAGGTCTTCTTTGCCCATCAGATTGTTCCCAATTCTTGTGCCACACATTCTCTTCTCTCAATCCTCATGAACACCACTTATTCTGGCGTGGAATTAGGTCCCCTTCTGAGTGAATTCCGCAAAGCTACTGCTTCCCTATCCCCTAATTTACGAGGTCTTGCAATCGGCTTTATGCCTCCTCTAATGGAAGCCCATAATCGACATGCTCGACAACAAACCTCTTTGTCCCACTGTCTACCGCCATCTTGTGATGAGGCAATGTCCATTTCTGTCGTCAAAATTGCTGTTGAAGCAGCTCAAAAGGCCAGTTGCTTAGATTCAGAAAATGGAACCAATGGGTCAGAGTTAGGGCACTGTTCCTCGTGTGTGGATGATACTCCTGGATTGGTCACGTCTACTACCACAGGGGATGCTGGTGACACGTTCCACTTTGTTTGTTTTTTGCCTGTTGGAAAGTACCTCTATGAATTGGATGGCTTAAAGCAAGAGCCGATTAACCATGGATTACTTGAAGATCCCATTAATCATAATGGTTGGACCAAACAATGCTTGGATTTACTTAAACAGCGAATGCGAGATGTAAGTAAACTGCTTTTTAACTTTGAGTTGCCATGAATTTTTTGCTAAGAATAGCCCTTTTTCACTTGAACAGCTTCAGTTTATCAAGCTTGGTTTATTTGCTAATCTCAATTAACGATAACGATTTCTTTAGTTTAAACTTCTTTTAACTTTTATTTCATTTACTCCAAGGGAATGCTTCAAGTTCCTCCTTCCTCTTTTCTTTTGTTCATTGAGACTGATGCTTTAACGTACACTGTTCATCTTTCGATTTCTACTTAGAAGCAAATATCCTTACGTTGAATTCACTAAATCCTGCTGTTAACAAAAGCGGCAGGGTTTACACTTTGTTTTGCTGTTGTGAGAAGAAATTATGGTCAGTGGAGAATGTTCTGACCTCTTTATCCATAGTCCCTCTGAATGTTTTTTTGTACAACTCAGGCATGTACGCTATTGCTTGTGTGATTGTGTTTTCTAGCATAGGCATTCTAACTGACAGTTTTCATGCAGTTGTCGATTGGAATATTAGTTCGCGTTTTTTCAATAGGTCAGAACGTACTGGGTACCAATAGGCAAGATTCCTTTGTTATCAGCTTTTTAATATTAACACAGTATCAAAAGGTGAATAGATCTTTTTTGTCCATGATTCATTCCTTTTATCGCGGTTCATAGGCTGCACTGGCATGCATTCTTTGCCACCTCTCCTAGCCTGTATGGACTAAATTTTCATCAAGTTGAATTTTTTTCTGCCTGATTTAAAACTCAACAAAGTATAGTCTATTACCAGTTTTTTTTCAAGTGTGTTTTTTTATTCCTGTGAAAAATTTTGACCATCCGTATAGAATCATGTTCCACAAGACGGAATGATGATGAAAGCGACTGATGATGAATAGTTTGCTCATTTAATTTTTTATTTATTTCCAAATACTATTTAATGATTGGAATCTCGTGAGCCAATCAAATTGGCGATAATTGAAGTCTAATTGAACACTGATCTCGTGGAGTATTTAGTTTACAGCACTGTGGATGATTCATCAGCAGAGTAGGAGAAAGGGCTGACTCATTTTGCATTTTCTACTATTACCATCTTAAGTCGCCATTCCCCTCATTTCTATCTCTTGACGTTAAAGGCACCGTCGCCGTTTGTAAACTTGCAACTGCCACTTTTCCCTTTGATAATCGGTCTCTAAGCCTCACAATGAGCGTATCCTGCCTTTCAAGAAGCTCTTTAACTTTTAAGGGCCAAAGTTCCAAGCCGAGCATTCTCTGCAAAGGAAAATTGGTTCACGCCTCCTTTCGGCAAATGTTCGTTGGCTTTTTTTACTTAGTGGAAATCATTGTCTCTCAGGGGAGGG